TAATAGATATCACCAGTGATATCTTGGCTGTGTGGCAAAAAGAGCATGAAAAGATGAAAGAGCGCATACAAATACAGCCGCACATACCAGAACATTCTTACTGCATCACGTGACCACCTTACGCTCCATGAGGAGGAGCATGACATCTCCAAGAGCCCAGAGATGCATCAGTGTGAGGAAGCAGCTCTCCTTGAGATCACTCACGTCCTTATCCAACTTCCCAAACACACCTTCCCCTTCTTCCACAACCCCACAGACACCTCAGCTCCCCCACCCACAGCAAGTACATCTGTTGTGGCATTACCCCCCCTCCCCAGCCGGTACCCTGCTCTGCCACCGAGGTGGGCAGCACCCAGCTGGGGCACGGGAGGCCCCGAATCTAACGGGACGGCTGCTGACAGGGCTCTCACCAGGGCTTCCACTCAGGCGGTAACGGGGCCACTATGCCTTCCCTGGCCAGCCATATCAGCTCCGGCTCCTTCTCAGGGTCAATCCCGATCTCCCGTGCAAAATCCTGGATTTCTAGGAAAACAGAAGAGAAACCTGGGGAGACGGTCTACACCAGGCACTACACAATAAAGCCAACCTCCTCAGCTAAAGCAATGGGCGCACTGGGAAGTCCGGATCCTGAAAAGAAGCTGCTCAAAGCTGCCAGCGAGCACATGCTACAAGGCTGGTAAAGCAGGGAGACAGACTGCAAAACGGCGTTTATCTTTGCAACCGAAAAGCTAGTTTTTCAGCTGTCTCCTAAGAAATCCCATTTATTTTACCCTCTCCACCCACACTCTCTGCGAGTCCCGTTTTCTTAATACAGCTAGAAGTAACTTGCATGCTTGAATCCCTCATCACAGGTCCTAGGAGGACAGCCACCAGTTACCTTGCTCACTGGGAATGTATGTCTCATCATAGTCTTCTTCTAGGATGAGCTGGTCACCAATGCGCACCATAGCTCCTGCCATGGCTCCCTGCACCTGGCAGCATGAAGGAAGCAACACAGAAATCACAACGATCAACTGCACTCAGAAGTAAAGCTTTCTCAGCAGACAGCGCGTGGCAGAGCCCCGCAGGGAACTTGGCACTGGGGCTGTGGAAGAGAACAAGGTGCGCTGGGGCTGCCAAGCACGGGTGCAAACGGGAAGGGCACAGAGCAAAGGCAGCCAGAACTGATGGATTCCGGCAAAAGCAGGAGGACACAGCTATAAGCGCTGGGCAGCTCAAAGTCAATTAACAGCACAAAGGGAGGGGAAGAAATATTATGTTATTTACAAGCACGTTTCCCCACCTCCCCTACAAAAGGTAGAGGTTGCTGGCCCTTAGTTTTGCTTTAAGATTTATTCATTTGGTAACGAGGCACTTGAGCCCACCTGCCGGCTGGGTGCTGCTTGGATACACCACACAGGGCACACCAGCGGTTCTCCACTCTACAGTCCAACACCCACCCGGAGGCCAAGGGGGAAGAAGTTGCCCCAGTCACAACGCCCACAGCCACGAAGGAAGGAAAACGCACGACAGGGCAGAGCTCTCCGCTCTGCTTACAGGGCTCTTTCACGGCACACAGCAAAACTGAATCAAAGACCTTCTGCACGCACTTCTTAGGGGTTGCGGAGACAGGCAGCAGAGCTGAGGCAGCACAGAAGTTATAATCGGACCCCCCAGGCTCTCAAGCTTCTACAGAAGAGATGAGCACTTGCTTCAGGGACTTTTTAAAGAGGCAAAAAATAAGCTGAAATGAGAAAGGGAAAAAAGAGAAAGGGAAAAAGCGGTTTTCCCAGAGCACGGCACAGCTTTGTGAGAGCAGTCCCTGGGCTGAATCAGCACTGCCCAGGGAGAAGGCAGCTTCTCCCCACACCCGGCTTGCCTTGGCCTCTCTCACCTGCCCAGAGGACATTTCAGAACCTACAAAAGGATCCTGATTTAATGTGCTCCACCTGTGGAGCATTGCTTCCCTATTTAGCTCAAAGACTCTAGGCAGCAATCCGGCCCCACCACAGCTGGGCCCATTTACCGTTACCACCCATTTTCCACCAGTTTAGGCAGCTGTAAGTTAATTTCCCCAGCCCAACCGTCCCCACCAGTGGCTCTGCATGGCCGCATTTGGCCAGCATTAGCCTCACAGAGCCAAGGGGCTGAGCGGGCTCCCAGGGCAGCTGCCCAAACGCCAGCACAAGCGGAGGGGAGGCCCTGAACCCCCGGCAGGAGAGGGGACAGGGCTGTTCCTTCCGCTCCCTGCAGGAGCTCAGCTGCTCGAGCACCGTGGAGTGACGAGGGGCGACCAGCCCTCGCCCTGAAACCCCAAAATACTGAATGCGTTGTACCAATACTCAGTACCATTCCTGGCGGGGCTCGGGAGGTCGCGGTGCCTGCCAGGTGTCCGAGCGGCGACTGCAACGCGCTGAGCAGCACTAACACGATAACGATGGCCGCCTAGAGCGGGACCGCCACATGGCTA